ACTTTTTTCTTTCTATTCTTTTTTTTACACTCTGGTTTCGACAACAACATTAATATGTATTAGAATTTTTATTGTTTTTTTAAAGATAAAAGATAAGTCATTCCTTTATGAAATATATTATTGGGAAGATTTTACTGCTGGGTACGTACTCGTACGTAGAATCCTTTGCCAAAATTTATACAAGCGTTTGCACAAGAATCATAAACAAGTTCAAACCTCTGAAATAATGAAGACTTGAAATTATAAAAGTACCTATTTACATGGGAAGAGACAGTTAAACAATGTCGCAAATGCAATTCATAACCGGAGCCGGACGAAGTGTATACAAATTTCGGTATTGTCAGCCTTCGCACATTCATACGAAAACAACTAATTAAACAACATCCGTATACGCTATAATTAAGAATCATTTGTGGACTTGGATAACATGTCACGCCACATATTATATACTAGCTGAGACCCGCGGTGTTACCCATGTTTGTAGTTATAACCGCGGGCAACGCCGCGGGGCGAAGCTAGTCTAAAAAAGTAGCCTAAGTTACTACTTATGTCATCAGCTATCAGCCAGTTAAAGTCCTGTCGAAATCGGTCCAGCCGTTCTAGAGATTACCCGGAACAAACAGACAGACAGACAAAAATTGTAAAAAAGTTTTTTTCATATGTACCATGTAAGCATACATATGCATTTAGTAAAAAGCGGTTATTTTAATATTATAAGCAGACACTCCAATTTTATTTATTTGTATAGATTACACTTTTTACTAGCACCCAACAAATGTTTCTTCTTTTCTAATTGTTTCATTTAAATTGCACAAGGAACGATGGAAAAAAAGCCTAACTGTCGTTATGGAACGCTTGTTTAATATAAAGGCAGTTATAGGCATTAAATTATTTCGCACCTAAAATCAAACTTATCTGTGTTAATTGACTTTCATGGGAACCAAATTACCGAGTGTAAATCGAACGGTCTAAATCCTCACTGCTCATTCTGTTATGGTCGCATTGTAGAGATTCTGGATATTTAATGTTTCAGAAACTGTGGCTATAATTTATCACAATCTTATTTTTGACACTGACATTGATTTTGCTTAAATATACAGTGCAAATGTCGTAATGGTTTATGGTGTAGTCGCCAATCCAATCACCACTGCTTGCGTCCGTATCAATGTTGTTATTCGACTTATTTGTATACTTTTGACGTACCACAATTCACATTTGTAAAATACACAGTACACATAGTATGTGTTTTATAGTACCAAATTCAATGCTCTTCCTCCTAAACACTTCGGCGAATTATTACACTATAAGCGAAATTATTAAAACCATTTAGAACATAAACATTATTTGTCATTGGCATTATTCAGTATTTGTTATGCAATCAGTATTCAGCGTGCAGTTAGTCAACGAGGCAAAAAGTCCTTTTTACACAAACAACTAATATTTCTACATTTAGATAGATGACTAACATTGTTGTAGTATAATGATTATTTATTTAATGAGAAATACTGTTCTAATTTTAAATACAGACTTATTGCTATGCAGTCAGTAAACTACAATAATAATTGTAGGTTAAGGTCTACTATTCTCTTCAGCAGACTATTGAGACTTCTGTGTTAAAATGTTAGTGTCGGTTCCCAATTGGTAAGTCGTACGCGACATAAGGGGAAACTACATGTTCCTGCATATAAGTGACTTCGACGAAGTTATTTGGACAATGTGCCCAAAGCCTTTATGTATCATCTTTATTTATACGTAAATTTCATACATATAATTGAATTGTGTTGTTCAGAAACGATCAAAGTCAACAAACTGTAGAAATGAATGCCAATGTATGGTTTAAAATTAACTGTATTCATCATACCCAAAAAAGTATTTATTTTGTGACGAATAAAGCATCCTCTCATCTTAATCATTTTTGTTGTAATAAGATAAAGATCATAAATAAAGATAATTTTATATAGTCTACCGCCAATACTCCAATTTTAGTCAGTCTGCAGAATGAATCCTTTCTAGACAACACTGTCAATTGTAAAACTAGTATTTAAGTTAATTGAAACTAAGCCCCACTTGTGTTATAGGTAGTTCTATTGGTTGGTAACAAAACTAGGTTAGTACAATGGCTTGATACTGCCTGTGAAGCCATATTTAATACAATGTTGTATTCATAATGGTATGATGATAGTTAAATCCATCGTTGGCGACCACTATATCCCCATAGCTTGTGCAATATGATGAGCATTTAATATTCTCTATTCCGACATTAAAGTGATAAAGCCATTAACTGAACGCTTTTGTTTGCCAAGTGTGATATGGGATGACGACATAATCAAGATAACAAAGTACGTTTTATTTGAAATACCAACACATGAAGAATAAATTTTAGTCTCTTTTTTTTTTCTTAAGATTCGTCACAGGTTTGTGATTTCACCGAATCATAATTGATTAAGTTTTTCAATTGTTTCTGTTTCATATGACGGTTAAGTTAGTAACCCAAATAACTTTTAAAAGTACCTAACCACAGTATCCAAAGTTGGGAGTTTCGTAAAACATTCCGTAGTTTCCGTAGTATTTCGGCGAAGTCATAAAAATGTAGATAGACAAATAATACTTTATCGTAATAAATGTATGCCATCGAAAATGTACAAAATTAAACCTTATCTATCACTTAATGTACAATGTTTTCCAGACAGCACTTCCTTTTTCCTACTCTGTGTTAATTATATCAGGCATTCGGATTTCACTTAGGTAACTAAGCTAATTTCATTTTTTTATGTGTTTCTTTTCTCTCGGTTTTTCATGCGTCACACGTTACAATACTGAAGATTTGTTTCTCATCCGCACATATACCAATACTACACTGGTCGTAACGAAGTACATTTTTCTCAGAGCACACACGTACCATAGAGCGTATACGTATAGGTATGAACGTGTTACGACAGTGGTTATTAGTAAGTCGAGGAGCGTCGCCGGAGATCACGTAGGGACCGGTTGCTGGCGTGAGTCCTCGCCCCCGACTATACTAAAGTACCGCCGCAATCCGCAGAAGTAAAAATGTGCAAGCTAACGGAAAAACTGTAACATGTGCTTTATAATGTCCTCGTAAAGTAGTCAATTTTGAGTTATTTCATATAAAACGTAAAAACTGTTCAGGGGTTCTTTTTTTTGGTTACCTTTGGTGCAATTATGTACGGGTACGACTCCAAAAGGGTGTCGAAGCTATTAGTAAAATAGTGTGTTGAATTTACAGTTACATCTCCCAGAGCACCCGTCAGGTGCCTGCTAAATTAGACTATCAACTACTGGATTTTTCAACTCAGATATATGAGTAAAAAGTATTCTAAGAATTGACATCGGCAATGATTTTGTCCTGGAGTAACTAAAATACCTTTGCGGAAAAACTATATTTTAGTCGGTCACGGTCAACTTTCTTTATCTCTCGGTGATATACGCCATATTGTTACGTGCATAAACGAGCTCTGTATGAAACATACTCAAACGATTGATAAGACTAAATGTCACATTCAATAAATTGCCGAGTATAGATATAATATTGTTATATATTCATCGTGTAATACATTTCTTTGTATTCATGCGTCTTCGCAAAACCGAGCGTCCATTCAACCGTCACAAAACGAAACTGAATGCTATTTCATCTCAAGATGCGCCGCTCACCGCAAATCCGAGGGGTCGGGTGACGAAGTTGGGGGGAGTCTCAAACCGCTCGGCAACTGCGCCATAACTCGCCGCGCACGTACAAACCAGACAATCGCAATTATTATTAACAGATATACGTTTAATGATCGTGTATGCCGAGTACAAACAACTCGAAGTAACTTGGAATATGGGCTGGGGAAGGCAACTATAGTGTTTACTTCACTGTAGCGTTCGTGTTATATTCGACTGGCGAATGTATCGGTTCGGACTTTGAATCGAATGAATATTATATCTTTGACAGTAGTACAAGAGGGACGATTTTCGTGGAGTGAGTTTATCAGGCTTGGTGATTTGTGGCGTGGTTAGTGTTCATCTAGCGCCCCAGCAGGACACGGGCCATAACTCATAGGATCAAAGACAGCTCGGTATGTCATACGATATGAAAGCTATGTATCATTCAACGTACGACACCGAGCATTTTACGAGCGAGTTTGACGCGCGCTCCACCCGCGCATGAGTCAATGTACGGAATTCTCGAGTTGAAATTCCGCAAACAGGCTCAAAGGCAGATAAAATTAGATTTAAGAGAATTTTTGGATATCCTCAATTTGCCCTTCCCTGAATTCCTTAGAGCTCGGTGAACGTTGGCCGGTAACTCTGAATAGTAATAAGTTAAATAACTATGAACGTAGTTTGTTAAAGCGTGTACCTCATTACTAATTTACATTTTATCGGTATATTCGTTAATGTTATTCACGGTATATTTAGTACATCAAATTAGTAATTAGCTGAGGTAAAAGAAGTATACGCAGCGGGCATTCGTAAAAGCAAATAAAAGCTAGTAGTGTATTTATTGGTTAATAAAGTGTAAGTAAGCCCCTAACAAGGGTTGTCACTTTTGTCAGAAAGTAGGAATTCGATATATATGTAACTGTAACTTTATTATGAACAGTTTAAGTCTACGGCTTATAATAGACTTAGACAATCGTATGTTAGAAGGGAAGGGTAGATTCGGACAATTTAAATAATTTAGTTGAATATTTTGAACAAAAAGCGTTATTATATTAAAAATCTCTTCGAAATATTAGTTAAGATTGAATAAATATCATTTTTACATTCCATGAGTTCTTTTTTACCAACTATAAACTAATAATCAAGTTAAAACAAGAATGGAAATGTCAAAATAATTATAGCTATCCTCCGTTTCTAGATATCTACAAGCTAGTTTATTTTTAGTACACACAGTTTGTAAAAATCATAATGGCAGGCCATTCTAAACACGTTCTTATTAATAGTAAACCCCTAATAAAACGGAAAGTCGCGTTACAAAAACAACAACTTACTTTTTATATATAAGTCGATATCTGGTTAGTCCTCGAATCTGGAACAAAAACATAATAAATCAGTTTAGCACTACGATGTAAAAACTTTTACGATGTATAAAAACAAGTTCACAAAACTTTTTGGGTTTGTCCTTCCTGGCACGTTACACACCAAAGTTGTAACATGTATTGAAAATTTCTTTGAAAACTTTTTATGTTACTAAAGTGACAAATAATAACACCTATTTTAAGAATGATTATTGCTTTGGCTATTTTTTCAAAGGAAATCATGAACGGCGCTGTAATGATTATGCACATAAGCATAATCATTACTGACTTCACTGAATGAAAGTGGCTACAAGACCGTTCCCTTTCTTGAAATCTGCCGAGCGACCCGACGGCCAAACAAATAGGTAACAAATGTTAAATACAACCAAGTAACTAGTGCTTTTAGTTCTTGTATTGGCTCTGTGTAGTGGGACTATCAACTAGTGGAATGATTCTAAATTTTAACGTGAAATCTCTCAGATCTTTTACTTAAATCTAAAATATAATATAAATATAATAAATATTAGTCTTAATATTAAAATATACGAATGTAATGTTAAGCACACGACTCGCTGAATTAAATTTCCACAATAAATTATAAGATATTAATTAATTATACACCTCGCGAGAGCGTGTTTGCACGAAGGTGCCGAATCTAATATATTCGTGATAATTTATTATTAGACTTTAGTTATTGTTTACAGTAAATAGCTGTTCTCTCTCTCTACACGAATTAATTAGCAGTAAAATTCACTGTGCTACTACTTTACATTTAAATAGATTTAAAAAATACTGATATATATATAATTAATTAATCTAGAACATTTAATAAGATCAACAGATATTAAATTAAAGTTCCAATGACAATCCTTGCAAATAAATTATAACTTGTACAAAAATTAAATATACTTTTGAAATATCTGTGCTATTGACAACAAAAATTACGGAATAGTAAAACGGATAACAGACAGTATTTAAGTTAACTTTAAATACTGTCTGTTAATTTTTAGACATATCCAATTAACGTGACAAATATAAGCGACAGTCACAAAATCGAAGCTCTTATATCCCGGAGGCGGGCGGGCGCCACGGGCGGGGGCGTAGGTACGAACGAACGAAATGGACAATGCGCATAAAAAATCAATAAAAGCCGGGCACGGCCTTCGTGGAGGTCGAGTGACGCTCACGGATCACCGGCCGACCTCTCGGCACATTATAAAATATTGAACGCCAAGATGTAACAAACTTACAAACTCGATTCCGTTCCGTAACTTTGGGCAAGCGAATTTTTCAACTTGTCCGTTTAATTTTATTTTAAAGACATTTTACGCGGTGAGAGAAGGGACGCTCGGTAGTTTCCTACCTGACATTCTTAAAAACTTTCCTCAAAAGACAGAACGACTGCCATTCAAACAATTCTAGAAATGCAAATCTAAAGTAAACTTATCTCATTTTTATACCAGCGAATATAACAAATTTAAAAGAGAAAAGACTTTGGGATAAAAAGGAAGTTAGTTTAGTTACTCAATCATGCAGCAACAGCCAAGGCAGTGGAGCAAAAATTCCACTTACTTCTTATGACACGCCAGAAAAATAAGGCTGTTTCTCATGAACAAGAAAAAGTCGTAGTGAAAAACAAGGCTTACTGAGCAAGCCAAGTTTAAGTTAACAGTGTTGTTTTAGCATCGTTAGTGTTAGACTCATTATACTGGAAATAGCCCCCCTATTCTCATGGCCCTGTTGTTAGCGAACAGACGTGATACTACATTATAATTTGACTCCTATTAGTAATTAATATCTGTTTTCTTTATCATGGGTCTCGAAAATACATTGCTTCCCATGCTTGTCAAATTCGAAAGCATTCCAAATTTAAACATGTTACTGTCTAGTACACAATGTTATTTAAGTTCTTATTGGTCTAGTCCTTCAAAGATGACTCGCATGGAGCTTTTTCCATTCATACGTCGCTATAAGAAACTCATACTACTCCATTTTATTGTATTAATTGCCGCTCTGTCATTATGGTGATAGATAGCTAAACTAGGCTTCAAGGTGTCTCTTTATGGCGCGTTGTTCCTTTCTTATTTAGTTTTATCAGTGACTAACAATTGCCAAAACCCGGACAAAAATTGACATGCGCAAGTATATGATATTGGTTTTTATAAACAGACTGACCCTAACGACGCGTTTAAAAGTAAAATTATTATCAGTGACTTCTTATCAATGATGTTATCGATGCGATGATAGCTATAACACTTAAATACTATTGAATTTAATCGCTTGGCCATAGTTCAAAGAGTAAATGCCGCTTAATTCTGTGCCAAGTGCAATATTTTTAGTGACAGAGCATTTTCGAAACACGTAATCACTAAATCCAACTCGAATGTGAATGCTTTAGGTATAAACTCAGAGTTTTAAATTAATGTGAGGTATTTACGTCATACAATTCGTAAGAGCTATTTTGACTACGAAATGGCAAAACGGTCATTGTAGCTTAGTATTTGATACATGAGAGAAGCACCAGATTTACACAATACATTTAAATACGAAATATTTTACCAGGTATTAATTAGTAATCGGATCATCAATCTTTAACTTATATTAATAAATTGAAAACAGCTCATATTTTGATATCAAAGATAAATTATTAGATCTGTAAAACGTACAAGTTAAGAGAAATAACTTTAAAATCCCCTTTCTCATTAAAAGAACTTTTCGACCTCCCTTCGTATATGTAGTAATTTGCAGAAATCTCGGGAGATGATTAAAACGTAATGGGTTATAGTCGAGCGCATCTCGAGATGTTATAAACCTTTATTTCATTCTGCTTATAGCGCTGTACATACGTGATGTACTACAGAATGTTGAAATTTAGTCTTCAAGTATTCTAACATAGTTTAATATGTGGACTTTAAGTAAATTGCACCACGGTACTAAAGTGGGTCTTTGTAATGCTACCTTGAGATCAGTGGAACAAAATTACGAGCCTATTGATCTACCCTGAATGCTAAACCGGAGCTCATGGGTTTGATTCCCACCCAGGATAAATAATTGTGTGATAAGCATAACATTTGCTCTGTGTGTGAGTGTAATGTATCTATAATTATATATGTATTTAAAAATATTTAAGTTTATTTATCAGCAGTTTGGTTACCTTAGCACAGGCTCGGCCTAGTTCAGGATCAGACTGCGTGTAAAATGTGTGAAAAAAATAATACTTTTAATTAATGTGAGAACATTGAACAGTATTTGCGCGTCCTTGTCACAATACTATGAAACTAAAATAATTTGGATGTGGGCCACAAACGATTGCGTTCCGTACGTCCGTCAAAACCGAGAAACTTTGTCCATTAATTACACCGACAGCTGACATGTAGCAAAGTGTACCGGTGAGTTGTTTATTGAACAGTTTACAATAACCGGTTTATATTTTGACATACCTTTAGCAGAATAAGGGTCTTTTTAAACGGTTTAATGGGTTAATTGTTTATCTACGAGACATTTATATGACTGTCTGATCTTCATATTTATTAATATGAAGGAGAAATGATTATTCAACACAGAGCAGACAACATTAACGCAAGTGGCACGAATCAGTTTGATGATGACAAATCAATATCGTTTTTCGTGAAACTATTAAAAGTTCATACAAAACAGAAAATAGTGCTTAACCACCAATAATTATACCAGTTTTGTGTTGTGTTTTGAAGTGAGAGCGAGAGTGACTCGCATTTAAAGAATCATGTCGTAGCCAAACTGAATTTGGTATAAGAATTCCAAGTTCGGTACTAGAATTACTATGTTCTATAAGATCTTCATTTAAGAACTTTTCGAAAAAGAAAAAATACTATTCAATAAGTGTAATATTCTGTTCCAATAATATTGAATACGTCAATACTTAAAACATACTAGTTTCCAATTATACTATGTTGTAAGCTATGAAGAACACTGTGAATTATTATATAATTATATAAGTAGTTAAATCGTTAAAAAATAAACAAACAAATAACTCGATTTTAGTTAAGATTATCACTTAAGTCATTAGAACCTTCCAAAGCGTAATGAAAACCACAAAGTTACTTCGCTATTGATTTATCACCATAATTGACAGGTCTATCATAATTTTCATTAGTTGAAACAAAGACAGAGGAAAATACCGTAATACAAGGATACCCACAATGTATACTGGTCAAGAAATCATTCATTCATTCATTTTTCTACCCGAAATAGAACAGAAACAACAGGGGAAAATATATTATCGGTAGGAAAGAACACAAGTAACCATTTCTATCAACGTTTTAATGTATTTTAAATGGTTTCTCGAGTCCCGAGGGCATCGTATTGGTATCGCGCGAATCGATTGCGAGCGATTGTTCATAGGTTTGTTACTATGCACATTTCCTCCAATCGCTATTATTAAAACAAGGTGATTTATATAGTATCATCATAAAATCGATCTTCAAAAGGGTAAGAGACACAAATAACTTTGTCTCGTCGAATCGGAAAATCATTAATCGGCATTAATTCATAGATAATAAATATTTCAAAGCACAAATACCTATTAATCACAACCGTCATTTTTATTGACCCATGACAATAACAAACAAACCGATTAAAACTTCCCCATTATTTACTGGAATTTACCCACAAATACAACTTTGAACGCAACAGATAAGATACACATCTACCCTCATAATTATCAAAAAATATAGTAATGTTTTAATGGCTTCATCGTGAACAATAAAACTCGTACCATGTTGACGTAATAGATCGATATAAAGTTATCACCAGGGTTTGGAAGAGTTGTTGATCATGACAGTATGTATGAGGACAGTGCTCATCCTCACCGCCCAAAATGATACGAATTGCTTTCACCAATATTTTTACCTTATTTAGGAGTGCTCAACCCTGAATTTCTTTCCCTTAAAAATAAAATAGTATAGTTATAACTGACACGAATAAAACGAACGAACGAGTTATATCTGTTCTAGAACCCATGCCTCGCACTTTA